TCTCTGCTGCCCTCTAGTGGTGAAGGTTAAGAACAGATTTCAGCTACTGACTCTCTGCTGCCCTCTAGTGGTGAAGGTTAAGAACAGATTTCAGATACTGACTCTCTGCAGCCCTCTAGTGGAAAGTCAACGTCTGTAAAACCTGGAAGCACTCACAGAAGTTCCCCGGCGGCTGCAGGCTGTGTTTGGTCAGCGAGCACCAGCCCACGGGGAAGATGTCTCTGGAGTCGAAGCGGCACCAATAATCGAAGGCTCCTCTCCAGCCGTCAAACATGATGAAGATCTCCTGACCTCTGACCTCGCCCACAGTGGCGGGACAAATCAGGTACGGGTTCTTCCTGTCCACCGCCTCCAGCTTCATGCCAGGCTGGAATAGGTTTTTAACGGGACTGGGAGGTTCCTGGACCCAGAACCAGAACCAAAAAAATATTTTAAATTTACAGCTTTAAGCAGAAACAACAAATTAATGTGAAAAGTTAAACTGTGTGAAAATAAATTAGAATGTGGTCATAACTTGTTTTCATTCATTGAAAACAAAATAAAATCTGAACAGCGACAGATGAGATGTAAGGTCTGATTTTCAAAATAAATATGTGTAAAATCAGATAGTTTTTTTTTTATTTGTCTGATTCTGAGTCACTTTTCTTAAGTTTGACTAACAGAACTTTTATTCTGACAGTCATGTTTTGATTCACATAATTAGACTTTTATTCTGACAATGATGTTTTGATTTTCCTGATAAGACTTTTATTCTGACAGTCATATTTCAATTCTCCTGATAAGACCTTTATTTTGACAGACATATTTTCATTATGTTAGTTAGGCTTTTATTCTGACAGTCAGGTTTTGATTCGCCTGATAAGACTTTTATTCTGGTGGTCATGATTTTATTCTATTAATTAGGCTTTTACTCTGACAGTCATGTTTTTATTTTGTTAATGATGCTTTTATTCTGACAGTCCTGTTTTGATTTTCTTGATTAGGCTTTTATTCTGACAGTCATGTTTTTATTTTGCTAATTAAGCTTTTATTCTGACAGTCATGTATTAATTCTGTTAATTAGGCTTTTATTCTGACAGTCAAGTTTTGATTTTGTTAATTAAGCTTTTATTCTGACAGTCCTGTTTTGATTCAACTGATGAGGCTTTTATTCTGACAGTCATGGTTTGATTCTCCTGATAAGACTTTTATTCTGGCGGTCATGTTTTTATTCTGTTAATTGCGCTTTTATTCTGACAGTCATGTATTAATTCTGTTAATTAGGCTTTTATTCTGACAGTCATGTTTTTATTTTGTTAATTAAGCTTTTATTCTGACAGTCCTGATTTGACTCTACAGATGAGGCTTTTATTCTGACAGTCATGTTTTGATTCTGTTAATTGGGCTTTTATTCTGACAATCGTGTTTTTATTCTGTTAAGCTTTTATTCTGACAGTCATGTTTTTATTCTGTTAATTAGGCTTTTATTCTGACAGTCATGTTTTGATTCTGTTAATTAGGCTTTTATTCTGACAGTCGTGTTTTGATTCTGTTAATTAGACTTTTATTCTGACAGTCATATTTTGATTCCCCTGATGAAGCTTTTATTTTCGTAAATAAAACATTTATTCCTGAATAAATCGATCATATTTAAGATAATTAACCGAAAGATAAAAGTTCTTTAATTTTCATTCATATTGACGTTTTTTTCCTACAGGTTTGTTTTTTATTTATTATTTTATTGTTGTTTTTATTTTTTTATTTTTTTACCTTCTTAAAAGCTGAAGCCGGAGCGATTTCTGCTCCGCTGAGCGTCCTCAGGAGGAACATGGGCCACGAGGACGCGTTCATCCTGAAACCTGAAGACAGACATCCAGAGACACTAAAGACCTGCTGAAGACAGACATCCAGAGACACTAAAGACCTGCTGAAGACAGACATCCAGAGACACTAATGACCTGCTGAAGACAAACATCCAGAGACACTAATGACCTGCTGAAGACAAACATCCAGAGACACTAATGACCTGCTGAAGACAAACATCCAGAGA